CGCACAAACAGTATACGCTAGCTACTAAGCTTCACTCCCTGGAAGAGTTATAATTCACTGTGTAACAAAAAAAACGTTTTTTTTGTTCCTGGGTAGTAAGTGTTATTTTCTAATTGCTTATGCCTCAAAAATACAGAAAAATCTATATTGGATATTATTCCCCACAAACTTTTATTTTGTGACCAGGACACGAAAGCAAAGTTAATAATCCACTCCATTAATAACACTGCGTAACAAATGTATTTTTTTTTGTTCCTGGGTAGTAAGTGTTATTTCCTAATTGCTTATGCCTCAAAAGAACAGAAAATGGCTATTATTCCCCACAAACTTTGCTTTTGTGACCAGGACTTTATGTGAAGGAATGACACAAATGCACACGTTTTCTCATTGAAAATAGGTACATTTCAAAATCTCACTGTGCTGGTCACAGGAACAAAAATTGTGTTACATAGCGCGATTGACCTTTCCTCAATATCCGACGTAGAGATGTTCCTTCACTGGGATAATTATTGACGGATTTGTTGTTTTTACATTTTTTTCAACGGTTTAATTTTAGCTCCTATCTTCCATGGCACATGATCCTGTAGCACAGTTCCGTTCTCTAGTAGGCAAATCTGTCTTCTCTTGCAATATTCCTTCTCCATTACTCACTTTTAGTTTCTGTAATCTCACTTGCCATATATATTGGCTCAATATTATTCTTAAAATATTATTTTAACTTCTTCAATGCTTTACTACGTACCTTCTCAACTGCTTCACCACAATACCTCTTGAGCAGTTACTCTATTTCAGCCGTTTTATTGTAAACTCACTTATTTGTATAGGCTTTCCCTGTAACTTAAGATTTGAAAACCAATTTTGTTGTCTGATTGGATTATGCTTATTATTAGATTTGGTCATAGTTAATTTTCATTTTTTGGAGATAAAAAATAGGTGTGTCTTTGTCCGAGCGTTTTTGGTCCCTGTGCAGCGGAGCTAATTACTAGGGAGTATCTCCAGCACATTATGAACCAACCTCATTGCATTTGTACAGGGTTCTCATTGTAACAAAGCTCTCAAGTCAGTAAAAACTCCTGTCTGTGGTGCCAAGTTTCCTCAACGAAAGAAATCTATACTTAGCAATTAACTAACAATTAATAATTGTCCTCATCATTATTAGTATGAAAATACAGAATATGATTGAAACAATTAGTATTTAATAATACCGAACATTAAATGTGTTTCGTAAGGGAATATCGATGACAGTGTACATGTCTTTTGAGTAACGCTTTGAAAAAGGCCTCCTCAAGCTGCCAAATATGCATTTTCCCCACCACACCGGCATAACGTTTGCAGGGGATTTTTTAAAAGTGCAGTGTATGGGTGTTCCAAGTTAATATGTAGAACATTCAAAAATATATTAGATCTGCTCTGCTTCCTCCCTGGACTTTGGTTTTATGAATGAATGAGTGCGGTGAGGTTTTTCCACTTTTGGGAATGCCAGCGAGTGTCACACGAGGCCCTCACCCTGCGTACGTGCTCCTGCAGACCGCCCAGCCCGAATGAGCGAAGATGCTAATTGGAAATGGAGCATGTTCCAGGACGGATTGTACCTTTATGGACAACTCAGAGGACATTGATGGCTTTTATCATTAACAATGTCTGTTAACAGAAAACTACATAACAGGTCATCATAATATAAGGAAATAGTCATTCTAAAATGCAGACACAGCATGAAGACTGAAAACATTAGAAATCCCAATTTGCACTACAGACCTTTTAGTTGTATTCGTTCCGAACTTCATAAACTGAATGTAATTTATTTATTGTGGACCGATCTATTATTTCAACGAGTTATGAATGAAATAAATATATCTTAAATATATATGCAGTAGAAAACATTGAAGTACTAGTACTTAATGCAAGAAATTCAAGTGTTGACTTTATAAATGGGGTTGCCTTCCATTGGTACAGCCTTAAAATTTGAGTGTATCCTAAAGGACATTACTAGCAGCCAACCATATTTAAACAAATTGGATTACATTTGTAGATGAGTACCGCGAGGGGCGAGCGCGAGAAAGTGTAAGTTTTTGGAAAGGTCGTGCAAGGGCATGCATGATGCAACCTTGCGCAAGACTCTCTGTGAGTGGGGGCAATTGGGAGCGAACAGGTGTGCGCGTGGTAGCACGGGGTTGGCGCCGTGGAGATGGGGGTGATGATAAGGATTAACGAGTGCGAGGAGCGCCATGGAGACTGCAGCTTAAGTGGGAGCACGTGCGGGCTCAGAATGAGGAGGGATATATAAGCAGGAGTGTGCGTGAGCTCTGGATCGTCGTCGTTGGGAGAGAGAGGAACAAGAGCCTGCGTGGACGACATCCCAGCCAAAGAGGGCTTGAGATGTAGAGGTCGCACCTAGTCGCCGGGTGGTGTTGGATGATCCCCTGCCCGGGACAGACGAGTGGGTAGACAAAGGGGAGCCATACCGGGGCATAGATAAATGAAGAGATGTGCGCGTGAAGGACAGAGTCCTGACGTGCGCCATAACGGGTGTAAGCGTCGAGTGCAGAAAGTGTAAGGTAGCAGTGAGTATACAGTGATCAGAGTGTGCATGAGTAAATAAACGGCAAGCAGCCTTAAGTAAGAATCTTCGTCTCCATCTGGTTCTACATTCATCCTTGGTGTCCCATGTTTTACCTTCATAAGACAATTTCCCAAGGCAAAACTACGAAAAGCAATCATTGGGTCCAGCACAATTAAATAACACTAGTTGTTCGGGGGCACCTGTGGCACCCCCTCACAAAAGTATTTCCGGCCTTCGGCTAGGAAAGTCACAAAATGTGCACACAAACGACGCATTCTTGCAAGCACCCGATGCTCCATTTTTAACTTTTAAAATGAAAGATCTCTGAATGTATTATGTTTAGAAGTAGAAAATGTTATTTCTTCATTAAAAGCTTATATAATTTTACATCTGGAAGACTTAATTGAAAACGACATTTCGTGTGAATTTTCTCTCGTCGTTAAGTAGATGTCCTTGCTGGGGGTTTGATTCGATGCGAACTTTCACCTGTTTGGGATTGCGGGATCAAGATAAGGAGACATAGAGCTGGCCGTGCGAGAAGACCGCCGTCTGCAGATCGATTCCAACGTAATCGAAAGTCTGTCCCTGCGACTTGTTGATTGTGATAGCGTATGCGGGGATAATGGGAAATTGTCGTCGTCGCAAAACAAATTGGCAAAGTCGTGTTGGCAAAGTCGTGTTGGTGGGGGCCAAGTCGATTCTGGGAATAAACACCGAATCGCCTGGGTTACACTCGGAGATGATCCGTGCCTTGATGAAAGATCTCATGAGCTCCTCGACAATCAGTCGCATGTCGTTGCAAAGTCCTTTCTTTGGGTGGAGATTCCGCAGAAGCATGATGATGATGCCCTTCTTCAGCAGCAGGATGTGTGGTGGCATTCCCGATGGCGACTGGTTTTTGAGAAACTCTACTGGGAAATGTATTGTGTCACTGAGATCTTCGCTCACGACAGAATCGGCGCTGTAGTAGATGGCGGGCTTGCCGGGCATCTGTCCGATGATCTTGCGGTTCATTTTGAGTGTCTGTGTATTGGTCGGTGCTACAATGACTCGCTTTGAAAGGTCGTCTATAGACATGTCTGCAATGCTGCCGAAGATGGATTTGATGAGATCCTCCGTTGCCACCATCTGCTCGGGGATTTTAATTGTGCCCTCTTCGAAGATTCCCAGCACTGGGGGCAAGGTGCCTGTTCCAACTTTAAGCAGCCATTCATTGTGCTCATTGTGTCCCTCGCTGCGCATGTTTGTCGTAAGCACGATCTGCGTGAAGTTCTTCCACAACCGGCTTGCCTTGATACAGCACTCAACGAAGTCTCTTCGCGTTCCACGCTGCACAATGGGAAGAGTCTGTTGGAAGTCGCCACCTACAATGAAGACTTTGCCACCGAATGGTTTATTGTTGCCCATCACCTTGTGCAAGAGCTTGTTGATGCAGAGAAGTCCGTTCTTCGGCAGTATAGTAATTTCGTCGATGATGATGAGCGAAGCTTTGCGCAGAACTTTGGCTTGTGGTGATGCAGGCCGCATGGAAGAGACTGAAGTGTTGATCAAGGGAACTGGAAGCTTTAATCCGCTGTAAACAGTACGTCCTCCTTTGAGCATTGTGCCGGTGATGCGTGTCGTTGCAAATGGCAGTGCAATTTGTCCTCGACCCCGGATGTACGCCATGAGAGTTGTGTAGAGGAAGGGCTTGCCCGAACCTCCAGGACCGTTGAGATAGAAGCATCGGTTCATTACATTCTCGTCATCGACAGCCATGATGATCTTGTTGAACGCGTCGAGCTGCTTCTTGTTGAGCATTGCGAGACGTCGTACACCCTCGTTTTCTTCCTCAAATTGGTCATACACATCTTCTTCCGGTGGGTTTCCCTTTGGTGTTGGCAATCCAATTGCTTTGCAAGAGAATCCGTGCTGCAGCAGAACGCTGTTGATGTCGTGAAGTGCTTTGTTGATGGCGGTGTCGTCGGCATCTCTTCGCATGTAGTCGAGAGTTAAGTCCAATTTGTGGTCTTCCCACAGCTTGAGAGGTGATGCGGGCTGAGAGAAGCAGCAGATGAAAGCAAACATCTCGCGCAACTGCTTCGGCATCATGTAGGTGCCGGCATCTGTCAAGCAGCGATCCCACTGGTCGTTGGAATCAAGAAGACCTCGTGCTGAAGCTGCTGCCCTGAAGCTCTCACACACCATTCCGTCGACGGTCTGCAGCGACTAAAAGCTGGTCGCGCCTCGAACATGCAACAGCAGAATTTGAAGATAGAAACGTTGTTTGTCTTTGACGCTGACCTTGTACATGTGGAACACGATCTTGTCGGCTCCTCACTGCCGCTTCTGCCAGTTGCCTTGAACGTAGACGTAGTGCTGCGGGATGTCCGTGTAGAGCCACTGACGTGCGTCTTGATCGCTTCCATTCAGCAAGAACCACGATTCCAGCTTTGTGCGACTGGTCTGTGCTGCTAGCAGAGCTTCCTCTTTGTGTCCAGCTTGAAACATTATCGTCTGTTGGTTGGGAAGATGGACTGGCAGTCTCATCACCGTGTGCGAGCGATCGTTCATCTTCGAGTCGAGGAGCCGCCATATTGCATCTGGAGCGCTCACGTACCGGAAATCGATGAAAATGGTGATTTCATCGTAGCGCAGTTCCGGCTGTCCATTCGAAGTAAGAGCAATGTTGGCACAATCAAATTCCTTGAAGATGTATTTATATATGTACTTTGTCTCGGCCTCACTATGCGCTACGTTGCAGCACTATCCGAGTAGATTTCAAGTTTCAAGTTCAAGTTCATTTATTAGGTATAGCCCTGTGAGCCATTCAGCTCTTGAATCGGGTGCAACCGCAACAAACAAAAAACAAAAACAAAAAAACATCTTAAAGTGAATATGTGACTAAGTGCAAACAGAAAATCCAAGAAAAGACAGCAAAAATATTGCAGAAAAAACACCGTACACCAACGCTGTGTGCAAAAATCCCACTGGGATGCAAGTCAAACAACAACAACAACCACAAGACAACTTAGATTAAGGCCATCAGTCTAACTCTGTACTACAACAACACAAACATGGCTAAACCAATACACTTTTCGAAATCACCAAAATAAAGCCATGAAGGCAATGAAAAAGCAATCATAGGAACTGACGGAATTTTCACAATAAATGGCATAAACAACATGTACTACCAAAACCCTGCAGCCATAGCTGGCTGCATGAGTCACTCCACAACAGCAGGAGCATCAATCGGAGTATTGTAATTTTTCAATGCACCTTTAAGATCAGCACACTAAATCAAAACACAGGTCATACTTTGTAGCGATCATCCGGAGCGAAACATTTTATTTTAGGTCACTGAATAGCACTGGCAGCTAGGGGTGTACAACTCCTCTAAAGCAGTTTTGAGTGAAGATCTCATAGGTAGTGACTCAAGTTTCAATTTATTTGCAACAGCATTCCAGACCCTGGGGGCATCAATAGCAAAGGCCCTTCCGCCAGTATATGTACGGCAATAGGGAATATTAAGCTGGTAAATGAGTGTAGACCTTAGGTCAAATTTGTTCTTTGAAACAGAGACGAGATCCAGCAGGTAATCTGCAGATTTTTTTGCAAGTACATCATGAATAAATAAGATCTGGTGCACAAGCCGTCGAACATTCAGAGATGTTAAGTTTGACCCAATGTAGAGATCACAGTGGTGAGTCCTATATGGGCAGTTCAATGCAAATCTTAAGGCCGAGTGATACATTGAGTCAAGCTTCTTCAGTACAGTACTTGGGGCTGATTTATACACAATGTCACAGTAATCAAGTAGAGGCAGTACGGTAGCTTTAATCAATTCCAAACGGAACATAGGAGGGAAGCAGTGCTTGTGTCGATATAGAAAACCAATTTTAATTTTTGTCTTTTTCCCAATATAATCAATGTGATCTTCAAAATTCAGTTTTGAATCCAGGATGACCCCAAGATACTTATAGATCTTGACTTGCTCTATTTGATCATTATTTAAGGTATGTAATTGGGGAAAAATAACTTCCCGCTTTAGTCCTGGTGAGAAGCATAGCACCTTGGTTTTGGCAGGATTTAGGACTAGTTTAAGAGCAACTAGCTGATGTTGTAGTTTGTTGAAATCACTCTGGAGCTTAGCAATCACGTCATCCGGAGAGCGGCCAGCAGTAATTAGTACCGTGTCATCTGCAAAAAGATTTACCCTGGAATAATCCAGTTCAGTGCCCAAGTCATTAACATAAAGAGAAAACAAGAGGGGGCCGAGAATGGAACCCTGTGGAACCCCTTTTGTTATCTTAACACTGTTTGACCTCCAACCATCTGTGAATACAGTTTGGGTGCGAGAAAAGAGGTAATTTTTTAACCATTTTACTGTGTTTTCGGAAAAACCGAGGCAACTTATTTTACTAAGCAGGATGTTGTGGTCTACTGTATCAAAAGCTTTGGACAAGTCAAGAAAAAGACAGGCGCAGTACTGCTTATTATCAAGGCTACTGTAAATGTGATTCAGAGAGTCTAATGCAGCAGATGTGGTGCTGTATTTTTTTCGGAACCCAGATTGTTTTAGATGTAATAGATTGTTGGCGGACAGGAAACTGCTAATTTGGTAGGTCAATAATTTTTCAAAAATTTTCATCAACGGGGACAAAATTGAGATAGGTCGGTAGTTATTTGGATCATCTTTAGGGCCCCCTTTGTGAAGTGGACGAACATAGGAATGTTTCCATTCTAGAGGAACTGATGCTTCTTTGATGGACAGGTTGAAAATATGGGCTATAGGTTTGTATATTAGGTGACCAACAGTTAGTAGAGCAAAGACGGGAATACTATCTGCTCCGGTAGAGGAGGACCCTTTGAGGTAGGACAGTTGTTTCAGAACATTACTTTCGTGGATTGGCTGAAAACTAAATTCGCTTAATGTTTGGACAGGAGTGTAGGAATTTGCATGAGCAGGGGTGACTCCCAATACATTATCAAATAGGGTACCAGCTTCAGAAAAATGAAGGTTAAAATTGTCAACTATTTTTTGGGGATCTGAAAAATATTCCCCATTTCGGTTAAGCTGAACGGGCAGATGATCTGTTTTGGATGCCTTTTCGATACATTTGATTGTTTTCCAGAAAATCCTGGCATTTCCATGAGATTCAAGGAGAGTGGAAGAGAAGTAGTTATTTTTTGCATGCCGTATTTTTTTGACGCATCTATTCCTTAAAATCCTGTATTCTAGCCAGTCATTGACCAAATTACTTTTCTGAGCACATGCCCAAGCCTTGTCTCTAGTTTTCATGAGCTTTGTAATCACAGGATCAAACCATGGTGGACGGTTGCCTTTAGTTTTAAATTTAACCAACGGAGCATGTTTGTTAAGAATTTGGAGAAACGTGTACCTGAAGGTCTCCCAAGCCGTAGTCAGGTTTGGAATATCACAGACCTTGTCAATATCCGAGTGAAGCACATCATTAGTAAATGCCTGAGTGCTGAAGTGTCTCATGGAGTGCTTCTCAACCAATTTAGGGGGGGCTTTGGGTCTGGCTGATGATCTCACCCCAAAAATGAAGGAGTGATCACTAAGGTTATTACCTAGAACACCAGTCAGTGCGAAATTGTGAGGGGCATTTGTCAATAGGACGTCAAGCAGAGATGACTGTCCCGGATTTTTTAGGTTGGGTCTTGTGGGGACATTTATTAATTGAAACAGGTTAAATTCATCTGCAAAATTTGTGGCCACGGCCGGCGGGTTTAGCCAATTCCAATTTAGATCACCCACTAAAACTATTTCACCTTTAGGGAGGCCCCCAAGAAGCTCTCTCAGTGCAGATGCAGCTTCAACATCCTTCCCACTAGGCGGTCTATAGCAGCACACTACCAATATGTGTTGATTATTAGGGAGAGTTATTCTGAGAGCCAGACCTTCAAAGCAACATTTTTTAAACAAGGAGTGAGCTGGTGAACATGCAATAGTATTACAAACATAGATGGCAATTCCACCTCCTTTAGATCCTCGGTCAAGCCGAAAAAGATTGTAGTTGTCAATCGTAATCTGCAAGTCATTGACGGCAGGAGTGAGAAATGTTTCTGTTAGGCAAAATATGTCCGGGTCAAGATTTGCTACTTCTAGTTTTAGTTGACTTAATTTAATCAAAAGCCCTCTGATGTTGACATGTAGAACACCAACACCTTTTCTGCCAGAAAAATCTACAGAATTATATGAGTTCTTTACATTTGGTCCAGGATGAAGCTCAATACCACCCAGAAATAAGAAAAGTAGAATTAATAGTTTGCACAGATATTTTCTGTGAAAGGATGAAGAGCGACGAACCTTGGACGAATAGCAGCAGCTCGCAGATGGTGTTATTTTTAAGAGCAGAATGAAGTTTGGAAGGAGTGCTGGTGAAGTAATGGGACAAAGATAGGGTTTAAAAGGATATAATGATGGAGTGTAGAAGTGTCTATAAGTTGTTTCATTAGCAGGTGTAGTTGCAAATTTAGCAATAAGTATTGACGCGAAGTAACGCGGGTAGCCATTTGTAGAGTTGAGTGTGGCACTAGATATGGCCGGGAGGGACAGTAGTAAGATACACAGCAGGTGAATTGACATCTTTAAAACACTAAATTTAAACACACACACACAGCTCACTCACACGCAGCTCACCCTCACCCACTCTCACGCACAGCCCACACCCATGCAGCACAACGCACACGTGGCCGCACACGCCGCCGCCATCTTGCTGCTGTTGTTGTTGCAGCTGCTGTTGTTGTTGCAGCTGCTGTTGTTGCTGCAGCTGCTGCTGCTGCTGCTGTTGTTGCAGCTGCTGCTGTTGCTGCTGCAGCTGCTGCTGTTGTTGCTGCAGCTGCTGTTGTTGTTGCTGCAGCTGCTGCTGTTGTTGCTGCAGCTGCTGCTGTTGTTGCTGCAGCTGCTGTTGTTGCTGCAGCTGCTGCTGTTGTTGCTGCAGCTGCTGCTGTTGTTGCTGCAGCTGCTGTTGTTGCTGCAGCTGCTGCTGTTGTTGCTGCAGCTGCTGCTGTTGTTGCTGCTGCTGCTGCTGTTGTTGCTGCAGCTGCTGCTGTTGTTGCTGCTGCTGCTGTTGCTGCAGCTGCTGCTGTTGTTGCTGCTGCTGTTGCTGCAGCTGCTGCTGTTGTTGCTGCAGCTGCTGCTGTTGCTGCAGCTGCTGCTGTTGTTGCTGCAGCTGTTGCTGCAGCTGCTGCTGTTGTTGCTGCAGCTGCTGCTGCTGTTGCTGCAGCTGCTGCTGTTGCTGCAGCTGCTGCTGCTGTTGCTGCAGCTGCTGCTGTTGTTGCTGCAGCTGCTGCTGTTGTTGCTGCAGCTGCTGCTGTTGTTGCTGCAGCTGCTGCTGTTGTTGCTGCAGCTGCTGTTGCTGCTGCAGCTGCTGCTGTTGCTGCTGCAGCTGCTGCTGCAGCTGCTGCTGTTGCTGCAGCTGCTGCTGTTGTTGCTGCAGCTGCTGTTGCTGCTGCAGCTGCTGCTGTTGCTGCTGCTGCTGTTGCTGCAGCTGCTGCTGCTGCTGTTGTTGCTGCAGCTGCTGTTGCTGCAGCTGCTGCTGTTGTTGCTGCAGCTGCTGCTGCTGTTGTTGCTGCAGCTGCTGCTGTTGTTGCTGCAGCTGCTGCTGCTGTTGTTGCAGCTGCTGTTGTTGTTGTTGTTGTAGCTGCTGCTGTTGTTGCTGCTGCAGCAGCTGCTGTTGTTGCTGCAGCTGCTGCTGCTGTTGTTGCTGCAGCTGCTGTTGTTGCTGCAGCTGCTGCTGTTGCTGCAGCTGCTGCTGTTGTTGCTGCAGCTGCTGTTGTTGCTGCAGCTGCTGCTGTTTCTGCAGCTGC